GAGAAATATCTGTCAAGCAAATTTCTGTCTTTCAGTATTTAATTTTTGTTAGGAATGGTCCATTTTGTTACATCAAAGTGCCTTGGAATTAAATCCTTGTCTTCTTTTTTCTCCCTTCTAGCAGATGTAGCACTGAAGGGTAACAGAAAAGATAATTCGTCTAACTTGTCTATAAGTTTTCAACACTTTATCTTCACAGTTGGTTCAACATGCCTACTGCACAGATCTGACTTTACTGGACAGAAACGGGAAGGAAAATAAATGTTACTTCTTAGTCCTTTGACCTTAAAATACCACAAACACCATCCATCTTCTGGTGTTATTTGTGTTATTTTCAAACTGAATCACTCAGCACATCAGGTCAAAAAGTCAGAGGCCACCATTTCTTCTCCCTGCTAGCAGGGTAGAAAGCTTTCATAGGAACAAGTACTGGCTGATTTTTTTTTTTTTTAATGTGGTTTTAAGTTTTGGTAAGCACCCAGACTTTAACTTCTATCTGAAGCATTTACAATGATACATTATTTTTTATGGAAAATAGTTACCACTTTCCACCCACAATAATAATAAAATTGCTTCTGTTTTATAGTCAGAGAAAAAATTGGGTTTGCAGTTCTTTTTTACTAAAACCATGATTTGTTGGTCCTATACTGTTCTGAGTGAGCAGAACTTCCTTCCCTGCCAGGAGGGGCATGTCTAGGTCCATTTCTTTCATAACGGCGTTGACAAAGATCTTGGACTTTGGCCCAAGAGCAGAATCTTCCGAAGTCACTTCAAGTTCTGCCTTGTTTAAAAATCTAGTAATAAATGTCATGTCGTTATTTCCAAGTAATGAAGAGCTGCTGTGTGTGAGGGCCCACCGTGGAGCTGTCAGCATTGGCAGCGTGGAGCACAGGAGTAGCTGAAGGCGAAGGTGTTGGGTCTGCAGGCGCGTCCCCGTGCTCGTCGGCTGGTGAAGGGGGGCAACACCACACGGGGTGGTGCTGGGTTACACCTAGGGGAGGTCTTGCACTTAGTACTGATGTGAAAGCCAGGAGATGCTTTCTCTTTCTCTAGGTCCTTCTTTTTTTTTTAAAAAAAAAAGCAAAACACTTGGATGAAACTAGTGTTTTTAAAAAATTCACAGTAAAAGAGCAAGAGCTACTCCAGAGTAGCCAATGGCCAGTTGTTGCCATTTGCTGGGGACAAGTGTGTTTCAGGTTATGCAAGTTGTAAATCTGATCAGGTTAAGTAAAGACTGCTGATGAGTTTCCTCAGCTCTCTCTAGGTCTCCTTTTCCGTGTCACTCCTCTCTCTCTGCTCCTCAGCTTAGAAAACATTCCCAACAAAAGGTCAGTCGAAAAAGCGCTCTTCCATGGAGTTTTAGTTCAGATAAAAATGATACTGCTGATAAATTCCTTGAAACTCCAGAAATGTGAAGTGACTTTACCTGAAGGGCAATTTATTATAGACATGGTGCCCATAAGATAATCTCCAACAGCGATGATGAACAGAGATGATCAGGGATTGTACTTTTAAAATGCCATTCTGACTAGAAAAGCAATTTGAGATCCACTTACATCTTAGTAATGAAAATTGGGTAAGGTAATAAGAGATTTCATTTTGTGAGTGAACTGACAATACGAATACTGGGATTTTTAATTTAGGTTTAAGTGGAGTAATAGCTACTCATTCTGATGCATCATTAGTCATATTGCTTTTTAATGAGGGACTCACTTTCTTTTCCTGGTTAGCTCTAATACTGATAGCAGAGCCCAGTGTACGAGTAAATGTTTAGGGAGGTCTGATGAATATGTGTCACTGCACCATTTTAATTTAAAAAAAAAGGAAGGAAAAGCACTTTTCCTTGTGTTGTCAAGAAATACAAATTCACTTTTAGTGCAAGGAAAAGAAATAGTGCAGAACTGTGATGGGTAGGCTGTGGTAAAAAATAATTAGAGTAAGATACATTTTGAAACAAACTTCAGAAAATCTAGAAGGAAAATCGTACTGAGTGGAGTGCTCATGGAAGGGACTGGCTTTATGGCTGACAGCAGTAGGAAAAAGTGGTTCTCTGGCCATCTCCAACATGCATGCATTGTAAATAATGGCAGATGAAGGTTCTTCTTGCCCTACCAAACCCACCTATGCCCCAAACACCTCATTCCTCTTCTAGATAGATCTCTTCTGCACTTTTATTTCTTGGATGTCTTGCCTTTTCTTTCTGTTCCTCCCCCTCACCCTCCCCCCCCCCCTTTTTTTTTTTTTTTTTTTTTTGTATTTTTTCCTTTCTTTTCTTTAATTAAGAGCTTGTTTTGATGTTCATTGAACTCAGTGGGAATCTTTCCATCAAATTGAATGCATGAGGTCAGATTCATAATCAGCACTCACTGAAACAACCTAACAATGGTTTTGTCACACACAAGTGCACTGTCTTAAATGGGATTTGCTTAAAAAAAGCAATAGAACTAATCCATTATCAACACTTGTTAGAGCAGAGTTTTGACTGTATCTGTATATTTACCAACACGATTTCAACCAATTTAAGCCAAATTGAAATTAATGCAGACTCTTGCTCCAGGCAGGACCATAGGGCAGTTAAATTAAATCAAGTTAAACTAGCGTATTTTTAGCCACCGCAGCATGGTACAGTGTGGTAAGCAGACTTAGGTCTGGCTGCCTTACTTCCTTTGGTGGGCGAGGTGTTTTGACTTGCCATGGGGGCAGCTGTAGTGTGATGAAACACGTGCTACGTTTAATGGAGACCAACCCATTCAGATCTGGGGGCAAGAGAGCACGCTTCTGGGAGGCAAATGTCTACCAAAGCTCTTTCTCATGCCTGTTTCTACAATCCCAGAGCCCTAGAAGCATGTGGCATCTTGCAAGTCTTTGTAGAAGTCTGAGCAATCCAGGGCTTCTAAACACTGGTGAGGCTGTGCACATCCTTACAGAGCAGAGTCTTCAAGGGGATCTGTGGGATCGAGGAGACCTCTGGGGTCTCCAGCACAAAGCTACAACCTCACGTTTTCACTCTGCTGTTTCATTCTGCTTTTCCCTTCCCCATGCAAGTGCCCATTTGTCTCAGATGTCGGGGAAGGGGGCATGAACTGATGTACTGAGGGGGTGGGTGGCAGAGTGCCAGGACCTCTCCAGGAGGTTGCTGTCCCCCCATGCACATACCGTAGTGAAGAAGGGGTTGCACACAGCAGGGCAGGGAAAGCGTAACCATCCAGGGTAAAAACCTTTCAGGATAACCACCGAGGGACCCCTGCACATCACATGCCTGGGACAATGCCAGTAAACCAAGAGTCTTCTCATCATCTTGCTTTGTGACCTGCTAACCTTCCTTTGAAAGTATATACCTCGCAGGCATGGTGGAGGAAACTCAGTTTTGCAGCAGTCACTTTTTAGCTTCAGAAGGAGTTATCTCCTTCAGATCTTTCTGTCTCTGCCTCTCTATTGTGAAATGCGAGAGAAATATAGGCCACGATCTTCGCTGATGCCACCTTGTAAATTCGAGGGAATCCCAGACATCCAATATGCTGAAGTTATTCCTTATCACATGACTCTATGTGAGGCACAACAGTTCCCAGCAGATTAGGTGAAAGAGGACTAGCATCCATTTCTCACGATGGCTTTCTTGAAAACTGCCCTTCTTCTCTTCACAGCTTGTAAAAGGAAAGTTGATAGGGTGAGTGCCCCAGAATGGTTGTGAAAGCACTGGGTCACACTGGTTGTTTTAACCTAAAAAAAACCAGTATTTTGAAATAAAACCAAAGCTGAACATGTCCTAAAACAGTCCATGTAGCTACAAGAAAGTATTTCTGACACTGACAGAGAATGATGCATCCACTCTGAATGCACCAGTTCTTCTCTGCTAAATGGAAGCAAGAAATGGAAATGAACTTTCTGTATTTCCAGAGATCTGTGCACGGCCACAGTCCCCGAAGTCTCTGTTATGGTCAGGCCCTTGGGGATACTGAGGAGTTTTTATATACAGTTGAGCTGATTTATGAGATTTCCTGTTAAATTTTATTGCACCAGTGGCTTTTCTTTGGTTCTTTTGAAGTAGAAAACATCATTTCTGCAGCAAATGCAAGTCAAAAAATCTTAATGGAGCATAAAAATCTAAAAGGTCATGATTTTATAGCTTTCAAATAGAAGACAGTGCACTGCTTGATACTCTTAAAAATATGGAAAGTTAATAAGGATGTTTATTGGTAATAAAAAGATAAAATCTTCTCCCAGACCTTTGATTTTGGCTGCTTGTGTATTAGATTTTGATGGGTGTACTTTTATAAATGAGAAACTCTTCTTAGTCTAGGACTGTCCTGTTTCAGAATTGCAGAGAGAGAGAAAGAAACTTTGTCCCAGGGAGGTTATTCAGTACTCTTGACACCCAGTGCTGCTTCTCCCTTTAAGCACAGAGTATTGATTGCACTTACCTGGTTGCTAGGCTCCTGTAGACCACCTTTATTTATCTGACTTTGTTTAAGACCTGTGAATGCATGCAAATCTATAACCAAATAAGAAACTGTTCCTGTTGCACACATTTTGCAAGCTTAGGTGAGTCACAGTAACACCGCTGCGAAACTCTCATGGCTTTCCACATGCAGGTGATTGGAATAGCCTATGCTGTTCTGAAAGAAAAGTCCAGAAAATGTCTCCTGGTGGATTTCTTTTTTGATTTAATCTGAATTCTTAAAAATATTTTTTCATTTGCATCTTAATGAATGTTTTTAACAAATGTGTAGGAACCTAGGTAAAATAAAAATGCCTTCTTGCTGTGGCACTTAATGGAGTAGACCTGGAACAGTTCAAATGCTTACAAATGTTTTCTCCAGGTGTGGGCATGGAAAAAGCATTTTATTACCAAATTCGCTGTCACTGCTGTTGTAGGGAGAAGTAATGGGAACAGGTCATGGGACAGAAGTGGTCATGGGAAAAGCCAATACAGCAGGAGGGGCACAGCCTTTCCTTCTTCTCATTAATAAGGACTGTCCTGTTTTCTGTTGTCTTTGCAGCAGTCCAGCACGGGGGACCTGAGGACTCTGCGGAAAGGGTTATCCCCGTACCACTCTGAGTCACAGCTCTCCTCACTGCCGCAGTATCAAGACGCCCTGCAAAACGTGAGAGACTTTTCCTTACCTATACAGAGCTGTGGGCTTCCCTGAAAGCGGGCATGGCTGGAGGGGGGCACGCAAAGATGACGGGGGAGCTCTCCCAGCTGAGAATTCACCCTGAAACTGGTGGTGCAAACGTGCAGCTGAGACCTGTGGCTGTTGGGAGGGTGGTGAGCCCCCTGGAAACTTTGATCTTTACCTGAGTTTGGATCATCAACTTATCAGCACAGGTTTTGTGGTTAATTGACTGTCACTGTCGTGCATCTTTGAAAGCAAGGGTGAGTCTTGTTATACCTGCAGATCCTTCTTTGTAAATGCCCTGTGTGTCTGTTGTCAGATGGTTTGCCAAATGCCCGGCAGTGTGTGGTTGGGGTTGCTTTAGCAATTAAGTTCTTAGGACTTTCATTGATGGTTTTTCTGTATCACGAATGAGGTTTCTGTTTCCTACGATTTGCCTGTATTGCTTCTTCTCAAGCAACAGAACAATCTTGATTAAAGGCTCTTGTGAAAGATGGATACTGTGCTGCTGTGCCAGGGCTCCTCCTGCACTGGTGTGCCAGGCATGACTGAGGAGGTCGAGCCCTGCCAGATGATTGCCTTCCAGACATTTGCCTAACTGCCTGAGACACTGCATTTGCTTGGTGACATCGTTTTCCAGATTGCCGGCAGAGCGTAGATGCAGTCAGGGGGTCTTGCTGTGAAAGGGCTGCGAGCATCATGAACATGAGCAAAAGTCTGATGGCAGCACAGCTAGGAGACCTCCCTGCTGCCCCATGTCTTCTGCTCCGTGGCTGGGGCACTGGTCGTCAGAGCTGTGGGTACTGTAGGACCAGTTGTATGTTGGCTGCCTGCTTGGTTAAAAGTCACTTGGAAGATGTAGTGTGCCTCTTAGAGCTGTAAAACAGAGGTAATACTAATTTAAGAAAGCTTGCATAAATAAAATTCCAGTGTGAAAGCAGAGCCCTTCCCTATCCCTGCAGAACTGAAGGGTGGATGGAGACCCTCCAGCCAAGAAGTAGGGATAAAACCATGCAAATAAAATGGAAGACTGGCTGAATATCCACTTCTCTAACTTTGTGGCCCATATGTAAAGTCAGGTGGCTTTATAAGGAGGGCAGAGAAATATAAGTATAGAGATGTTTGTCTGGCTGTGCTGGCGCCTTACAGTTTTGGGGATTTTGCTTCGCTTCCCTTGTGCTCAGGCATTTGATCCCCAGCTTGGTTCCCGGTGCAGGATGCTCCATCAGCCTGTGCTGGTTGCCCCGATGAGTGCGACTACACATGATTTTACGCTTATCTTGTGGGCCGGCTCGGGACACAGCTGGCAGCTTTCTGCAGAGGAGCTCTGCCTGGGCTGGGACCTGGCAGGGGACGACTCTGCCTGAGCATCACCCCTGCAGCTCACCGGGCTGTGTGAGGGCTGGCAGAAGGCAGCGCTGCAAGCCGGAGCCCTTCCTGGCCACTTGTCCATGCTTTCCCTCCTTCCTCAAGGAAGAGGTGGCACCTGGCATTTATGGAGAGGCCTGGGTGCTGTGTGAGACTTGCGTTCATCTGTCACCCTGGCTGTGTTCTGCCTTCTTTGTGGGAATGCGATAGAGAAAACCAAAACCATCTCTGGATCCAAATCCACATCATCTGGGATACTTACATAGCCATTTATTTACTTATTCCTAACAAAATCCCTTTAGTTTGTGGCTTGACATGATGTATTGGTTTTGTGACAAAGAATAACGATTACAGATTCAAGCAGATGTCCTTGCATGTCTCAGGCACCTCCCAGAAAGTGGACAGTTAGATGTACCTGACTTCCTCTGCAGCCTCTTTTTTGACAGCAGGCAGGAGTTTGTGAGGAATCGTCCCTCTGTGTGCCTGCCCAGGCTTCATGGGGGTGAGTGATGGACAATTGGTGTCAAGTCCAAAGCTGTCACATCTATTCAGGATTTCATCGTCGTCACTGCCTGTACAACTCTTTGGGGAAGTTCCTCAGCACATCGCTCACTGTCACGCCGTTTGCACATAGGCATCACTCCAGCTCTCCGTGGCCCTGGCATACCTCAGTTAATGGAACAGTTTAGTGTTTCTGAGGGACCCTGGACCTTGCACGCCAGTGCACACCGAAGACGCAGAACTGAAAGACACTCAGCATTGCAGTCTGTGCACCGTTCAGTCAGTGGTGCATCGTGCAGAGAGTGAATTATAGATTTGCTCTGTGCTCTGCAGAGATTACCAAGTATCCAGGAAAAGCAGTCCCAGGGCGTTAGTTCTGACGTTCAAGCCCCTGGCCAGTGCAAATGAAGGTGTGACAAGTATGTTAGTTTGAGCTGATCGTAGGCTGGTCAAACTCCCCAGCGCTGGGAACTGCAGATCAGAGTCATCTCATGGTGTACCACAGGCTCCCCGTGTCCTTTGGGAAGTGAGGGCAATTCCCTTGGGCTCAGACTCTGAGTGGGTCATGAAAGGAGATGGCAACAAGCAGCTCCCTGTGGGACCTGCTATTCCCCTAACATGAGAGGGGCAGGCTCCACAGCAAGCTAGTTGGGCTGGCTCGATCTTTTCTATCCCTTCAGCCTCCAGACCTGCTCAGCCTTGAGTCAGATGATGTCCCAGGCATGGGAGCTGACTTTGAGGTACCTACCTGTAAGCAGTGCACTGCTGAGGACCCAGTGGCCAGCCTGGTGTCTGGGTGTCAGCAGTGGAAATAATCCCAAAGCATCCTTGAAGGGCTTGTGACTGCATTTGCTAGCCCAGGCTGTTGAGATGTCTTCAGTACTTTAGTTCTCCATGGTAGCTAGAACAGAATTTTTCAGCCATGGTGCATTCGTGTCTTGCTGGCACTGTACGTCTTCCCTTCGTGACTCCTGCATGTGGATGCATCAGCGCTTGGGATGAGTTATTGCACTCGGATAGCAGCCCTCTGATTTACTGCGGGAAGCTGTTGGAGGAGTAATGCGGGGCTGGAGTGCACAGAGAAAGTGATGCGCAGTCTGTCCTGGAAACTCTTCCAGCTCAGAGCTTTTCTGGAGTTTAACAGTACCAGGTGGGAGTTCCTGGCTTTCAGTTTTGTTTGTTGGCATTGTCCAAGGAGTGTGGATTGTCCAGCCATGTGGTCTCACTTCTGGTTAGTGAGGTGGAAACCACATTTCAGTAACACTGAGAGTTTTAGGAGAATAACGGTAGTTTTAGGTAATTGCTGTTGCAGGGGGAGGAGGATCCCTGTCAGTGCTGTGAATCGGGACTGTGGGCCATGCCTGCCACCATGGAGGGACTCTCCTCCTGCAAACATATGTCCCTTCTTTTTACCTCTCCATGCCTCAATAGTTCCCTTGAAGGAATTGGGTGGGAAATCACCCATTCCATACCAGGATTTCAGGCAGCTCTTTATCACTAACCTCAATAACACTAAGTGCTCCAGGATCCTTTAAGGGTGGACAGTAGAAGGCGGTGTTTAATTTTTGGAACAGTATAGTGTTGCTGGAGAGTTCACTTGTGTCTCCTGTGGGCTTTCTCCAGCATTAATTGAACCATGAGTGAAGACTGGGAGGTGAAGACTAGGAGGTGGAGTTGTGCACACTCAGTGTCAGCTCTCGGGTCTCTGGCAAAGCCACCCTACCTACGTAGTGCTTAACGTTCCGTTGCATCTAATGATTGCTGAGTTATGCTTCTGACATGGGGAGGATGTGTGGTGGGAAAGGAAATTCCCCATCCACAGTGGTAAGGCACTTGTTTTGTTACTAATAGTCACGTTTCAGCAGTTTTTTTTCTAAAAGGTGGAATCTCAGCTGCTGACTTCAGGAGCGTTCGAGGCTCCTGTAGCACAGCTGATGATGAATGTGGTAGCTCAGAGCTTGTATCTGTCTCTTCTCTGCTCCCTTTGGCTTCTGCTTGGTGCTCTGGCTGCCCACAGGGACATATGGTCCCCTTCACGTTCCTACCCACTGCCCTGCAGCTGTGCCCCATGCACGTCTCAGTGCCCAGGCATGGGAAGGTGGCCTGAGGGCTGCTCATGTTCCTGTGGTTGGAGGTACCTTCACCCTGAGAAACTCGTAAGCTCACTACCTGGAGGAGCCATGTATCCACATTGGCATAAAACACCCTTACTGGCAGCCTGTTACTAGCAGTCAGAGCTAGCCTGGCTGGCTTAGACTTAAAATTTACTAGCAGTGTTTATATGACTTACATTAGGAATCCTGCCTTTGGTGGAAGTAACTGTAGAGGTTTGTAATGGAAATATTAAGGTCAGTGTGGACGGAGCGTGAATGGAAAAGCGCGTGTGAAAACACCATCAGGAACGCGAGAGCAAGGGATGCGGGGATAGCCAGTGCTGATGACCAAAGACACAACTGACAGCAGACAAATGAGTAAACACTGAGGGATGTGTGGTTTGCATCAGGACCAGGAGGTCTGTGCTGTGATAAGGCCGCAACACAGATGGCTCATCACTAGACCTGTTCCCTGATAACGGGAGCAAGGTTACATTGTGATGTGCCATTGCTTCCTGTGGTTCCAAGAGGAAGGCTTAGATAAGGTGCCCAAAATGAGGGAAAGACAACAGGCAGCAGCTTTCCTAGGGTTTATAGGGGGTCAGTAAGGAAGATGCTGAGATAAAGATCAGCCTGTAATAACCATTGACTCCTAAAGCATGTGAAAAATGTGTCCAAAACCCAGTGCTTGAAGAGAGACGCCAGAGCCGTCGTTAGGACTTGTCCTCTGTGTCGCACACAGTGACCCTGACCACGCCACATGTACATCTACCCTTTGGTGAATGCATGAGTGGGAGTTTGTAGGCGTGCAGGTGTGAGTAACACGTTAGAGAAATCAAGTTTCATCTTAAAAAAAATATCACCTTCACCTGCCTTAAGTTTTGTACCGAGTTTGTGCTGCGGTAGTTTCTGTTACTCCTCGCTGAGGAGCAGGAGCTCCCAGCGGTGCTCAGCCGGGTGCGGGAGGACGTGTTTGCATGTGCTGTGGGTGGTGGCTGGAAGAAGGGAACTGTGCTCATCCTGGTG